ATCTTGGTTCACGTCACTAGACTTAGCCAATAGATATTGGCAGGTCGAGATGTTTGAAGACGATAAAAAGAAGACTGAGTTTGTTACACTATACGGGCTTTATGAGTTCAACATAATGCCATTTGGACTTATGAAAGCCCTGGCTACATTTCAGAAGTTGATGGATCAAATCTTCAGCAATATAAATGAAAGATTTGTTATCATTTATCTTGATGATCTTAATATCTTTTCCAAGTTATTCGAAGAACATTTGGATCACTTGAGGGAAGTATTTTTATGACTAAGATGAACGGGCTTAAAAATTAAACCCCAAAAATATTATTTTGCCTGTAAGGAATTAAAATTTTTAGGATATGTCGTAAGTGCGTTAGGAATATCAACTGATCCAGAGAAAATTTAAGCTGTTTAAGAATTTTCTATCTCTCAAAATTTGAGACAGTTACATAGATTCCTAGGATTGGTATCTTATTATTGATGGTTTATCCCTGAATTTACAAGAGTTGCAGTCCCTCTGAATTCGTTATTATGAAAGAATGCTGGATATCATTGGACCTCAAGACATCAAGAAGCTTTTAAAGGATTGAAAGAAAAACTCATCACAGCTCTGGTTTTAGCATACCCAGATTTCTTAAGGCCTTTTATTCTCTTTACTAATGTGTTGGATTTAGCATTAGGTGCTATTCTTTCTTAATTGGACGAAGATGGAAAAGAAAGAGTCGTTGCTTATGCAAGTTGATCGTTGACTTCAGCTGAAAAAAACTATTCTGTAACAGAAAAAGAATATTTTGCTGTTGTCTGGGCTGTTTCATATTTTAGACCCTATCTCTATGGAATTCTGTTGACCCTTTATACTAATCATTCTGCATTAAAATCGTTATTTTCTTACCAATTACCCCAAAATCGACTAGTCAGGTGGATTCTGACCTTGCAGGAGTATAAATTTACCACCATCTATAGACCTAAAAAAATACATTTTAATGCCGATAGCCTTTCACAAATTTAGAACAATCAGTTTTTGAAAACTAATTTCTTACTCCCATATGAATTTTATAATGTCGATTTCAGATTACCTAAAAACTTGATTTAATAAAAAAAAAAATTTTATGGATTTAGATACGTATTATTTATTTTTAAGGTACCTTAGTGAGTCTACGGTGCTTTCCGATTATACAAACGCCCAAATTAGAACCTTGGAGCATAAAACATGACATTACTTCGTAAAAGAAAGATTGTTGTATAAAAAGAACATCTGGAATCCTCTTAGACTATTACAAATATTAAAGCCACTAGAAGTTGAACCTATATTATATGCGATGCATTCAGATCCTTTAGCTGGGCATTTCAATAAAGAAGCAATGTACCAATGAATTATTACCTACTATTTTTGGCCACAGATAGGAAACGATATTTGGGATTTTGTTGCATTATATGACTCCTGTCAAAGAAGAGGAAAGCCAACTACTAGAGAGCCTCTTTACCCTATTCGTATCAGCCAACCTTTTGATCAAATAGGTATCAATATCATCAGTCCGCTTCTAGTTACTACAAAAGGGTATCGATACATAGTTGTAGCCACAGAATATTTAACCCGATGGCCAGAAGCATGTGCTATTGAACGAGCCGATGCTGAATCAGTGGCCACTTTTCTTTTTGAGGATATTATTTGTCGTTACGGGAGCCCACGTGAATTACTTTCAGACCAAGGAACCCATTTTTGTAATAAGATCGTGAACACATTGTGTATCAAAATAAACATTCGTCATTCAAAATTAACGGCTTATCACCCTCAAACGAATGGATTAGTTGAGTGCTTTAATCGAACATTGTGTGAAGTTTTAGCTAAGTGTATTGAACAGTATAAAGGCGATTGGGATGATTATGTAACTACAGCACTCTTTGCCTATTAGACAAATATACATTCTGTTACTCACTATGAGCCTTTTTTCTTTATGTATGGTCAAAATGCTTTGTTACCTATAGAAACTGTAATTTCGATTTATCTGAACAAACCAATTACTGAGGAGGAGTTACAGGATCAGTTGTTACGCTAAATAGAAAGCTTGATAGGATGGCTGACTGAATCGCGTTATCAGGCTAAAAATAATATTGAAAAAGCTCAAGATAAACAAAAAGCACGTCATAATTAAAGCTATCGCATCGCATAGAGAGTTATTTGATTGGAGATAAAGTGTTGTTAGAACGGTCCTCTTTATTGACATTATATAGCATGAAATTTAAATCAAAATTTAGTGGTCCGTATTATATTTATGATGTTTGTGACAATGGTTTATATAAGATCAGAACGATTAGTGAAATAATAGATAACAAGCCTAATAAAAAAGAGAAGGTCCTTAAGAAGGCAGTGTATGAAAACTGGTTAAAACGATATATCGAGGCTTCCGTAAAAGAAAGTTTACATACTTATAAATACCCTTCAAATTGACTTAATTTCTCTATCAACCATAGAATCCTTTCTAGTCACTGCACCTTTATTAAAACTTCTACTCCAAGTGCAAGAGCATCTTAAAGGATCATCTGTAGATACTTTACGAATCAGTAGTACTACTATCAAATTTCTCAATAGCCAAGGGGATCAAGTTTCAGTTGATTTTGCACCTGAACTAAGAGGTGAACTATCCGAGGCAGATCGTATGCTTCTTTATATCCAAGATCTTCATAAAAGAGGTGATTCACATGAAATGCTTGATCCTATTGAAGAAGAAAATTGGGGACAACAGATGAATTACCTTTGCATACGTCTTCAACTCTGTCGGTTGGATAGAGTTACGTTACTTTAATATTATTATCGATTAGGAGAAAGGATGGTTATTTATAATTGGAATACTTATGCTAGATAAGAAATGAAAGATCAGTTTACCTCTGGGAAATATAAAAAGGCTGTAAGAACTGCTTGACAGATTTACGCCCTTTATCAGATTCATGATGTTCATAATTTACTAGTATCTGATTATATTTTGGCTTATACGATACTAGTAATAACCAAAGAAAATTTTAAATTATTATTAGAGGAAGCAACAAAGGGATAGGACAAAGAAATGGAACTATCATCTGGTTCCGTTTAGGTATCTATAGGGGTTTATACCTAACAAGGAGTATGTCATACTTTTTTTTTAAAAAATCGTGAATTGTAGTAACGAGAACATGTATACTGTAAGGCTGGGTTGTAGCGAAAGCTTAAAAGTTTAGATTTATACAAATATTTATCTTATTTGTCATCTTTGTTTATTTTTATATCTATAGATTCTTTTTATTTGTTTATAGTATGTTTGTTATATTGAGGCATAGAAGTAAGCTAAAGTTAATATAGAAAGGTTAGTTACATAGAAAAGCTTTTGAAAGGTACCAACCAGTATCAAAGCTTAGTAAAAAGTTCTAAAAAGGTTAGATTAGTAGAGATCAGCCTGGTAGAAAGTACTGGTCGGGCCCAACAAATAGAAATAAACCCAAGAATATGTAAAAGCCTTATTTTATGTATCTCGAAAATATAAAAGAGCTGTCTTTTCGCTCTTTAAATAAAGCTTAGATTTCATTGTCTTTAATATAGGAGTATTAAGAATTGATTTCTCAAATTAATGTTATATAAGTTTACCATTGTATTGTTGTATTTATTTCTCTTATTTTACTATGAAGGCTTTTCACGATCGTATTATATATTTACTTGTTAAGTACCCTATTACTCTATTACCTGATTACCTTATAAGTATCGACTTCTAATATCGGTTATACTGATTAACTATCGATATTACTAATTTATTTAATTACGATTACATAACTTGATTTATTTATCTGATTGATTGCCGGTAGATATAATTAAGTGCCCGATCATGGATTAATTACATAACCTCACATGTTTGAGTTATTACTATAATCGCATTTCTTTATTATTAAATACCTTGAGTCCTAAACAAAGAATATATAAGTTAACTATTGGAGTTAAATTATGCTAATAATTCTATACGCTTTCCCAAAACAATAGTAACAGTATATTTCGTATGTATATACGTACATATATACGTACATAGTATATGGATTTACTTATTTGTGCGAGTGATACAAACCCAGTCTTCTTTTTATCGTCTTCAAACATCTCGACCTGCCAATATCTATTGGCTAAGTCTAGTGACGTGAACCAAGAT